CTCTCTCTCTCTCTCTCTCTCTCTCTCTCAGGAAGAGATGTGGTGCCGTGGTTGTGTTGCGTCTTGTTCTTCTGCTCCCTCTGGAGCTCTGCCCGGTCGCAGTGTCCCGACGGCTGCCACTGCGCCTGGGACACGGCCACCGTGCTGTGCTCGGACGCCGGCCTCCAAGAGATCCCCGTGGGGATCCCGCCGGACACGGTGTCGCTGCACTTGGAGCGCAACAATATCCGGAGCCTCCCCGAGAGCGCTTTCGTGGAGCTGGCCCATCTGCGGGACCTCTACCTGGCGCACAACCGCATCGACTCGCTGTCTTCGGGGGCCCTGCGCCGGCTGGGTCCTGAGTTGCGCCTTCTGGACCTGTCGCACAATCAGCTGAGGCAGGCCAGCCGGGACGAGTTCGGGGGCACGCGGGCCAAGACGCGCCTGTACCACAACCCCTGGCACTGCGACTGTACGCTCCAAGAACTCATGGAGGCGCTCAACCTGGAAGCCGAGACGGTCAACGGAATCGTCTGCGAGAGCTCAGTGCGAGGGCTGGGCGAGGCCAGCCGTTGGGAGGACCCGGGCGTGTTGGGCGAGCACGCCGGTCAGCCTCTGGTCCGACTCCTGGACTCGGGGGTGAACTTCTGCAGTTTGCAGCGCAAGACCACCGACGTGGCCATGCTGGTCACCATGTTCGTGTGGTTCTTCATGGTCATCGTGTACGTGGTTTACTACGTCAGGCAGAACCAGGCCGAGGCTCGCCGGCACCTGGAGTATCTGAAGAGCCTACCGAGTCCTCGTAAGACCCCCACGGAGACGGACACCCTGAGCACCGGCTTCTAAATTTTTAACCCCTGTGACTACTGAAATACTATATGGCTTCTTGGTCAAGCCAAATGGTGTATCTGTTTGCCTTTTTAAGTCAGAACAGTTTTTCTGTGGCACACACATAGTTCGATCACCCACTATTGTGCCCACCTGCGAATTGCAAACATCAGCGAATGATCGAATACCCACTAAAATGATTTTGTAATTGCATTTAGATGCCGC